CTTCCTCTCTCCCCCTTCCTCTCCCCCTTCCTCTCTCCCTTCCTCTCTCCCCCTTCCTCTCCCCCTTCCTCTCCCCTTTCATTTTTATTCTTCTGTAGTCCTCAGTCCAGCCTCATCCAGCTCTCCTCTCAGGCTGCCAGTGAGCTGTTTGTGACCTCCCGTGTCTGAACTGCTCAAAATCTCTGTATAGCTCCCTATAAGGAAAACAAATTTATCAACTGACACATTTGAATTGCATCGCAATATATATATTTTTTAAGTGCCTGCAATTCCCAGGAAAGAAATTACCTTATAATAAAGGTAGCAGAATCTAGGACATCAAAATAGCATTGTGTGGAATGGCAGTGATGTCAGCGCCATTCACCCGGTCCCAGGAGCTTAGCAGTCACTAGGAGCTGCTTCTGGCCTTCAGAAGCGATCTGAGATCAAGTGCCCAAACAGGATGCCAACGAGGGGGAGAAAAGACCACGCCGCAGGACATGGCTTGTTCTGAAGAACGTGGCATGTTTCCTTGACTTGCTCAAAAGTCTTCAACAGGTATCACTAAGCGCAGGATTCAAGAGTCCTCCAGAGCTTTGGCACTGCAAACCCCAATTAAATGTGCTCTCTTTCCATGGCTAGATGTACTAAAAATGGACTTTCCTGAGCTCTGTGGCTGCCATGACCCTCTTTGCTGGAGCCTGTCATGCTGTACACAGGGATTACCAGGGTTTATGACTCCATGGCCTCTGAGAGAAATCTCTGCCTTGCAAAAAAAAGAAAAAAAAAAAAGAAGGTATTAATAGAAGGTAGTACTTGATCTTACAGAGAGCTTTATGGGACTAAAGGTATCGTAGAAGACATATCCTGCATTGCTCCTTTGGAGCCTGCCCTGACTTGCATTTTCTCACCGGAATTGTGTGGGATATTGTTAAAGAGAGCAAGCTTCCCCTTCTCTGCAGCCAGCTAACTACCTCCTTTCTGCCCTGCATCGGATCTCGTCCCACAGTCAGGCCTCATTTCCTGAGAGACCACACATGCCACGAGCCCAGATAGCAGACCTAACGAAGAGTCAGCTATGAAACATGTGCTTTGCCGTAGGCTGAGTCAAGAGAGGATGTGAGCTACTGGCATCCTAGGCTTCCCCTGGCCAGCTCCTGCCATGAGTCAGTGCAGACGCTGGGTGTGACTTCTTGAATACAACTCCCCTTCACCATTCGAGAGGCCCAGAGTCATGCAAAGAAAACCATGAAAAACACCTGCAGGAGATGCAAATGCAGTTCTACTTCTGTTTCAGGTGCTAAACCTGCCCCTGGGATCTGCTTTGAGAGAGTCAATTCTGCAGGTGATCCTTATGGCAACTGTGGCAAAGACTCCAAGAGTTCCTTTGTCAAATGTGAGATGAGGTATGGAATCCAGACATCCCGGCAGAGCCTTCAGTTTTTGACCTTCCCACATTGCATAGGGTTGGTTCCAAACCGTTTCTCTTGGGAATTGTTTGTTCTTACCCTTCCAGAGATGCTAAATGTGGAAAAATCCAGTGTCAAGGAGGTGCCAGCCGGCCTGTCATTGGGACCAATGCCGTTTCCATAGAAACAAACATCCCACAGCAGGAAGGAGGCCGGATTCTGTGCCGAGGGACCCACGTGTACTTGGGCGATGACATGCCGGACCCAGGGCTTGTGCTTGCAGGCACAAAGTGTGGAGATGGAAAAGTAAGACCCAAACGTTTGCTTGTATCGTAAATGTAAGTCTGGAATAGGGCCCATTGAAAAATGTCCTGTGCAAGAACTGGGTTACAAGGTTTGTTTGTTTTCCTAAATCTATTTCTTCTCAGGTGCACCTACAAGAAAAAAGTCAATAAATCCTAGATCCTGGTCTGACTGTTAAAATGCAGATTGGGGAAAATCAAGCCTGTTTTCTCAGGCCTTGAGTGTTAAGTCATTTCTACACTCCAGGTGACATGAGGACTTCTAGCCAGGAAATTACTTTGGAAAGAAATACAATCACATATTATATTGGTTTTGGATATGTGGCTTGGTTTTTAGCACAGAGTTCTTGGGGGTTTGTCCTCAGCGGGACAGAATGGGGAATCAGATGTATTTTTAGAGGCCCTGTAGAGAGAAGAACAGGAGAGGGAAAGGAGTGGGAAAAGCTCAAAACCAAAAGGGAGTCCTTTCCGAGAGCAGAGAGAAAGGTACATGGAGATATTGTGAGGTTTAGAAATAAAGTCAAACTTTTTTAAAAAAAGAAAAAATTGAGATTTTCATGCTCTGCCATACTGATTTTTTTATTTTTCGCCAAACTTTCTCATCAGACTAAATGACAGCAAGCTAATGCTACAATGTTTTAGGGAAAAGATGAAACAACCCCCAAATGCTTTTTCTGACTCCATTTTCAAGATGATCTTGAAATCGCTCACTAACATGAGGTCACAGGAAGAAAAGACAGAAGCAGAGACAGAATCCTGAGAACAGGTGCTCCCTCCACTCCCCTGTCTTCATCCCCTGCACACCTTGAGCCACAAATACTTTTTCCTTGAGAAATAGGACAAAATGTGGATCTTATTACACATTCTGAATGTCTCCTTACCCACGTTTGCTCATATTCAAGCCTTGACATTAAAATGACACCCGAATTTTTTAGTCTCAAATCATATTTTGTTTTTTAACTTTTATTTTAGGTTCAGGGGTACATGTGCAGGTTTGTTATGTAAGTAAACTGTGTCATGGGGGTTTGTGGAACAGACTATTTTGTCTCCCAGATACTAAGCCTAATACCTATCAGTTATTTTTCCTGATCCTCTCCCTCCTTTACCCTCCTCTCTCTGATAGGCCCAGTGTGTGCTGTTCCCCTCCATGTGTCTATGTGTTCTCATCATTTAGCTCCTACTTATAAGTGAGAGCATGTGGCATTTGGTTTTCTGTTCCTCTATTAATTTGCTTAGGAAAATAGCCTCTGGCTCCATCCATGTTCCTGCAAAGGACATTATCTCATTCTTTTTTATGGCTGCATAGTATTCCGTGGTATATCTGTACCACATTTTCTTTATCCAGTCTATCATTGATGGACATTTAGGTTGCATTCACGTCTCTGCTATTGTGAATATTGCTGCAATGCACATATAGTGCATGTGTCTTTATGAGAGAATGATTTGTACTTCTTTGGGTATTACCCAGTAATGGGTTTGCTGGGTCAAATGGTAATTTGTTTTTAGGGCTTTGAGGAATCACTACACTGTTTTCCACAATGGTTGAACTAATTTACGCTCCACTAGCCGTATATAAGTGTTCCTTTTTCTCCACAACCTCACCAGCATCTGTTATTTTTTGACTTTTTAATAAGAGCCATTCTGACTGACAACTGTTTTTTAAACTGTAGCCTGAACAGCCAGGGCCAGGTACATCTGGACATTCAAATTCCAAGGGCTCAATTTATCAAGTTTGTTTTCCATCGAGATGAAATATGCTTTGATCTCAGCACCTTGGTTCTCTCAGGGCTCAGGGATTAGCAGTGATTCCCATGAGGGCTCTTCTGTGTTCACTGTAATCAGGCCAGGTTCTTTTATCAGCTGGAATGTGACCATCCCCTTGGCCAGGCTTCCCACCCACAGTGGGGATCCCCTCAGTGCGGCTTGGCCAGCACTTCTCCCAAAGGGCATGCCTCTTGCATTAGATGAGCTGTTGGGGTCGGAGGGTGACCTTCTCCATAGGAAGGTTCTACTTGATTAAAAATTCTTCTGCCATTGAAACATTAGATTTTTATTCCTTTGACTCCACTGATTTGTAAACTCTTATGAACAAGAAGGGGCTGCACCCCGTGAGTCTGGAGTATATTACGCACCTTTGAAATGAGGCTGAACTCTTTCAGCCAGCCCAGTATCATTTAGCAAATTCCTGCCACTACAACAGCTTGATAAATTCAAGGAGTCGTCTGTTTTCCTCTGCTGAGCCTCGTTGCTGATGGTTTATGTCATTGATGATATTACTTGTCAGTCTGTATCTGGAAAAAGTCCCCATATTTCATTCTCTCCCTTAAAAGACTCTTCAATCCTGGATTCTTGGAGTCTCTCCATCTATGTCTATACAGGCCCTGGGGTAAGGAATAATCTGTCTCACCCTCTCCCATATCTTTTAATGGATGAAAAAAAAATGCTGCAGTACATAGGTTTCATTACAAGTTCTAAACAAAACTCATAAGAAAAGCAGTTATAATTTTAGGATCAACTGAGAGTTATATTAAAAACCATAAAATGCAAAATAATTTAATAGTGTTCCCATTGAACTTCGTCTCAAGCAGTGCTGAGTTTGGAGGAGTCAGGTAACAGGATCCAGGCCAGAGTCCAGTGTAGAATGTATTGTTATGCCGCATCTGTATTAACGGAGAGAAGGCTGAGTCTTCTCCAAGCTTTCTTTTGCTTGTTTTTTCTTTAATACACATATGTGTGTGTGTTGGAGGGATTGGAGAAATACTAAGATATTTGCGTGTTTCCCTCCTCCTACAGATCTGCCTGAATCGTCAATGTCAAAACATTAGCGTCTTTGGTGTTCATGAGTGCGCAGAGCAGTGCCACGGCAGGGGGGTAAGTAGGCTGAGCTGCCCTTTTACAGCCAGCCCATAACAAGTTAAGCAATAAATCACTCATTCGTAAAAGGTTTTGCAATCCATAGCATCTTTAAAATAGAGCCGTTAGTGTCTTCGCAATATTTTCTTCTAAAGACATTCATTTCCTTTGACCTTTTCATGTGATTTTTATTTAACAAAGAAAATCAGATCGAGCAGTAAGTACCTTCTTAATTAACATTCTATGATTTTAAAAAAGATTTTTGTTGTTCAAAGTAATTTGAAAACAAACCTTCCTTCATGACGAGTTTCAAATTAACATTTCAAACAGCTCGGTTCCTCTTGCTACCAACATTCAGAATCGGTGTCTGAACTGAAATACTTCCAAAAGGAATTGAAACAAGGACAACAGATCATATTAAGCACATGTTCTTGAAATCACACACAATGGGTTTCAACTAAAGAAGGCTGTTATTTTAGTTCAGAGAACCTTTAGGTTAGAAGAGGACTCTAATTGCTTAAAACATAATTTATTTTTCTTGATGGGCTTAATTATTTCCAATGGAATCATATTAGTCTTGATTAACCGCACCAGAGGTTCATTTGTTTTCCTGAAACCTTTTTTTACAGAAATCATGCTCCAAAGTCTTTATTTTAAAACTTGCAGACACTTGCCAATGATTCCTACACAGAATTGTGGGGTAGGGGAGGGGGTGAGGTTGTAAATTACCATCATGCTGGAACCATAAAGATCACGGTGTCACCTGAGATGGGTGTGTTGACAGTAAGCCTAGCTGACTCCCAGTATAAAATGGAATCTTCTTATGTCTTCATTGGATCATAGGGTATTTTCTGATGGCTGTTAAGAGATAATCAAGTCCAGTCCCATTGTTTTATTGAAGAAGCCAAGCCCTGAGCTGGGGGGGATGGTGTGCCTCAGGTAATATGGCCAGCCAGCTGCAAGCTGGTTGAGGACCCTGGACCACTCCCTTTCCAATATCCCTGGCCCTCATTCACACCTGGGAGAGGAGAGGTCCACCTTTCCTGGGTAGGTGGAGCAACTGGCCAAGCATTGCTGAAGAGTAGCTTGGCCATTGTCCTACCCTAATGGGAGAGCCTCACAGCAGCACCTTCATGTGGGTTGTAAAATGAGACACATGACCACAGTTGCAGAGAGAGGCCATTCGGGGCAGGCGTGCATCTGGGGCTAGTATGTCTGCAGGAGCATCTTTGAGGGATCAGGCAAGACGCTTATATTTGGCATAGGCTCTGCCTCATGCTAATTCTACTCAATTTCTGCTTTGTAGCAGTCTACTTTCTAACTTATGAAAGCCTATCTTGACTGTCGGCCTTCTTATCTGAAGCAGTGGGGATGGGTGGTTGATTCATCAAAACAAGTCGGTTGAAGCAGGGAAGCATTCCATGGGAGATGTATACTCCACACGTTTTATTTTGCCTTAAGATATGAAAGTATGTATCTGGCAGCCATATTTTGATGGAGGGCTGAGGCCTCTGGGTAATTGGACATCGACTTCCTGATATACACCACCTAAAAATGCATCAGCAATAATTTCTAGTTTGTTTCTTTAAATGGAGGGGAACCTTGGACACTCAACATCATCCAAGAACAGCGTCCTGCTCATCCTCTGCAGCTCTTCTCAATCACTGTGCAGTTGTCTGTCCCCTTCCTAATTTTTCAGAAATTCTTTTAGTGATTTTTCTTAATCCAGTGTTCCCAAAGGATGCAACCTAATTTTCTTTAAAAAACAAAACAACAACAACAAAAAACAACTTTTTTTTTTTCCTTTATAAAGACAGGGTTTCACCATGTTGGCCAGGCTGGTCTTGAACTCTTGGCTTCAAGTGATCTGCCCACCTTGGCCACCCAGTTGCTGGGATTACAGGCGTGAGCCACCGTGCCTGGATCTAACAACCTAATTTTCATAGAAAAAAATACGTTAAATATATATCATCTTGTCTTCATGGTCATATTCCATTGGTTCATGTACTTTCAGTTAGTTACATCTGGCACAGTAATGAGTCCAGCCAGCATCAGTAGCCCTTGGTCACCAGGTGGGCAGGAGCTCCTGGCCCCTCCATGGAATGCTCTGGTCTACAAGCTGGGCCCAACAAGGGCAAAGCACAGCCTCCTCAGGCTTTCTTGGGCTCCCTTTCCTGCTGTGCCAGAACCATTCTCTTATTTCACAAGGAAAGGAATCCACTGTTGGATTTGCACCCTGGTGCATGACTGGAAGCCAGGGAACAGCCACAGGGAAACTGCAAGAAGGAAGCAGACACTGCAGGAACAACACACGGGGGAGGCTTCCAGGAAGTGTCAGTGGAAATCCCACGCACGCTGCTGGGCTTGGGAAATAGGAGGACTTGCCGTGGCCTGCCTTGGACCCCAGCCTGCCTCGGGACCTGGCAGTCAACAGCCTCTGACCCTTCTGTCTGAAGAAGACAGGGACGTGCCAAGCATCTGTCAGGTCCCGCAGTGCCCCAGGGCTCTGGGTCTGTAGCCCCGAAGCAGGGTCCCTCCGCACTGCTGAGGGGGCTTCTCCTCATGGTCAGACAGTGAGTCTTCTGGATTAAAAAAGGAAGACAGGAAGATGGAGAAGGAAGTGAGGTGGGGGGAAGATGAGCCCAAATAATCTTCATCACTCTTAACAGCCGCTAATAGGCAGATGGTGTGTCTTTGCAGCCTCAGGTCTGGTTGCACCTGTGTGGTGCATCGTGCGGAGTTTGGGCTCATTCACACCACGGCAGGTGCTGAGTCTGGCTATGCCGGGGTGTTGGGGGGCTCTGACCATGGCCCCCTTGCTTCTGCCGTGGTGATGCACAGACCGTGTGCCCTAACCCCACGCCCCTCCCCTCTGCCCTGAAAGGTATGCAACAACAGGAAGAACTGCCACTGCGAGGCCCACTGGGCACCTCCCTTCTGTGACAAGTTTGGCTTTGGAGGAAGCACAGACAGCGGCCCCATCCGGCAAGCAGGTCAGTGAGGCCCTGCATCCCAGTGGGAGGTGGGGGGCCAGTGGGCTGACCAGCTGTCAGCAGCTGTGCAGGTAGAACCAGTTAAGAAACCCGGTGGGGGCCCCACATGGGTCTATACAGCCTAGAGTCTCCCCCAGTTTCCAGATGCCCCTCTCATCGCTGCCTGATCTTCGAGGCCCCTTGCTCTCCGCTTTGACTGAATGGCTGAGTTTGCAAATTCCTTAGCCTGTGACGCTTCTCTTAACTAAGGTCATTGGTCATTTCTATAGTGAACTGCTGAATGGGAATGAATTTCATCATCATGTCGAAGGACTTTGTAAAGGCCAGCATCTGTGTGGTAGGGTCAAGAGGTGTGAAGCTAGGCCGGGCGCGGAGGCTCAAGCCTATAATCCCAGCACTTTGGGAGGCCGAGGCGGGTGGATCACGAGGTCAAGAGATCGAGACCATCCTGGTCAACATGGTGAAACCCCGTCTCTACTAAAAATACAAAAAAAATTAGCTGGGCATGGTGGTGCGTGCCTGTAATCCCAGCTACTCAGGAGGCTGAGGCAGAAGAATTGCCCGAACCCAGGAGGCGGAGGTTGCGGTGAGCCGAGATCGCGCCATTGCACTCCAGCCTGGGTAACGTGAGTGAAACTCTGTCTCAAAAAAAAAAAAAAAAAAAAAAGAGGTGTGAAGCTCAATGCCTTTTAAAAGACTTACTGGAAAGACACCCACCTTTTAGTAAAAGTGACAGTCAAGGGAGAGTGGGAGTCATTGCAGCAGCTTCTGTGTGTGGAACAGATGTGCAGGTGCTGTGCGGTGCATTTCATGCGCATGACGTCATCCACTCCTTACACAACTCCGAAGAAGGTCCTATGATTCTTTTTTCATATACAAAGAACCTGAGGCTCAGGGAGGTTAACTATTTTATCTAATGGGATCTCGCTAAGATTTAGACACAGGTCAGCCTGTCCCCCAAGAAGCTCTTAGTAGCGGCTGTGCTTGGAATCGCAGCCCTTTTTCCTCAGATGACCTTTAGAAATGGTCTCCTGATGTGGTGCTGTTTTCTCTTGAGTTCTTATTGGGCAATTCAGGGGCAAATCTGAATGACGCGCCTTTTTGAGGCAAAGAAGCAAGGCAGGAAGCTGCAGAGCTCCAACAGGGAGCACAGCTGGGGCCAGGAGCCAGTGGGATGGGTGAGCGCGCACCTGCGGCTGCACTGACACTCATCTGCGCCCTCCCATGACTTGGAGACCACTCCCAGTGCTGCTGCAGAGGAGGTCACGCCCGCCCAAGGCCTCCTGTGACAGGCAGCATTGACTCTGTGGCTTTGCCGTCGTTTCCATGACAACAGACACAACACAGCTCTCAGGGCTCGGGAGGGGAAGTCCAGCCTACCAGGCATGTCTGCAGAAACAGCGAGTTCCTGGTCCAGCTTCTGCTAAAATGTGGACGTGCTTCAGTGCCACGCCTGAGAGAGCACCAGGTCACCATTGTAGCAGGCCCTGCAGCAAGGAGGAAAAGGACTCAAAAGTCTGGCCTTTCACCGAGGCTCTGTAGCAATGGAGAAGAAGAAAGGTTTGGGCCCAGGGTCCCCTTTCCCCAGCGACAGCTCAGCTTTGACAGCCCTCAAGACTGGTCTCTGGCTGAAACTTAATGCTCTGATGTGGCTTTTTGGCATTCATTCTATGAAAACAGCAAGGTTTTAGTTTTTAATTTATCAGAGCCCCTGCTACGCATTGTATGTCCAGCCAAGCAAACTGAATGGCATTAAAACAAAACAGGGAAGAGGGCAGGTAAAAGGGCGGTGAGCTCTGTGGCTCTTCGGTGTGGACATACATGACCGGCAGTACTCAGGTTTGAGGGTTTGCCAAAAGCCAGGGAACTCACAGAGTCACTGAGCCTTCATTTAACAAAGAGAATGCTAAAAAGCCAAAACAACTGAAGAGCCTAACTCCATCCCCTGTAGCCATTATTTCATAAAAGAAAGTACATTTTCAATACCGCTGCCTCCACCCTGCACATACATATATAAAATCAAGGCGGACCGTGAACAAGCATGACCTGCTGCTCCTGGCCGGGCCGTGGCTCAGAGGCTCATTAAATGAGTACTTGTGTGTCTGCCACATGCCAGCCACTCTCCTGGGTGCTGGAGAGACATTAAGCAAGTATGACATGGCATAAGTGCGGGAAGAGAGGGCGTCATGGGAGGGGAGCAACCCCCACAGAGCAGCAGGAAGACTCCTGGGTTCTCTGCATCTGTTGAGGTCTGAAGCAGCGAGGGAATTGTGCATTCTGAAGCAGAGACAGCTGGCTATGCGAAGATCCAGAGTGTGGACTGGGCCGACAAGAGGGGACACAGGACACAGTGCTCGTGCTGGTCATGGGGAGGAGGGAGATGGAGTCACTCACTGCCCGGGCCTAGCAACCCTGGGGCATGCAACAGGTTCAGTGTGGGGGCCCTGTAAATGTTCAGTTTCATAGATTGATGTACTGAAGACTTATGGGTTCACTTTATAGAACTAGAAACTATAGTTCAAGACTTTTGCAGCTCACTTTTTAAATTAGCTTTGTTACGAGACACCAGAACTCTAGCCAGAGCCCCCTGTGATCACTGCTAAGGGTCTGAAAAGAATGACATTTTGGCTAGGAAACCAGAAGCAATGCTTTTCCAGTAACACTAACAAATGAGTCAAGACTGTCATCTGTTGGCTGTCTTGCTTAGGCTAAGACACATCCCTGATAGGCCTTGTTAGTGGGGGATGAGGTCCAGAAACCGATAGGGCGTGAAAGACATTCTTACCCTAGAGTAGGAGCTGCTGCTGCTGCGGTCCACAGCCAGCTGAGGGTACAGGTGGAAGGCAGGATCGGGAGAGCTCAGGCAGCTGCAGTCACCTTGACGGCGATCACCAGCAGCCTCAAAGGACTGTGGTGCACTTATCTAATATGAAGTACACCCTGATCCTTGCTGGGGGGAAGACGAATGAATCAAGATCCCTGTCCTCTGGGAATCCACAGTCCAGCTGACATCACAAGTAGACCTCCTCTAAGTCTGAGCATTTGGAGTCCTTCCCAGACAGGCTCTGACCATAGCTGCTGTGAGAAATCAGTCTGATGGTTTGATTTTTCCTTCCTTTCCATACTCTTGAGGATGCTCTTACATGTACTAAACAAAATGGCAGCAGGTCATACAAAAGATGATGTTTTCATAGAGAAAATAGCTTCCTCCCAGGAAAAGGGTTTCCCCACAAGTCTGTGTTTTTTAAGTCCCTAATGTAGCAAAGCAAAACCCATGGGTGTTTCATTAAAGTGATGAGTTTTCTTTTTTTTTCCACTATCTACTTTGAGACGTCCAGAAAAAAAAGCATCTCGTTTTTTAAAAATACAGAAAAGATAAAGCAGAACGCAAAAGTACAGAATGAGAAAAGAGAGGCATTTGGAGGTGGCAAATCCGTGCTGAGGGCTGGGAACATTTTAGCCTGGGGATGGCTGCATTTCTGGTGAGGTTTCAGTGATGACTCCCTGCTACCTTCTGTGGCTACCATGGCCCACTGTGCCATTGTCACGCCTCACGGAGCCTGTGTGGTCCAGGCCATCACCCCACATACCCGACTATATTCCTGTTTAGCGAGTTCTAAAGTTGTCAGAAATGAATGATGGTAACATAGATTGAACCTCAAGCATGACCTTTGCAGTAAGACAATTAGTACATCACTCAAGGGTTTACTCTCTTCATTTCTGTTTGTTGCCTCAAAGTTCACTTTGCCATAAATGTCACCACTTGATACCTCCCATACGTCACTGTAACTGCTGCCTTCTGTGAGCCCAATGTGTTTTGTTTCAGATAACCAAGCTTTAACCGTAGGAATTCTGGTGACCATCCTGTGTCTTCTTGCCGCCGGATTTGTGGTTTATCTCAAAAGGAAGACCTTGATACGTCTGCTGTTTACAAATAAAAAGACCACCATTGAAAAACTAAGGTACCCTGGGTTTAACTTGTCATCTTTTCAAGAAACGGTGGCTCGAAAAAATGTATAGCAAACTGTTTCTCACTTCATTTTTTAGCAAAGTTCAGATTTTCTGGATCATAAAACTGGGACTTGGTTCTTTTCAGGGTTTTTTTTTTTTTTTTGGTTTTAAATTTCTGCCAGATCAGCTGCCTCATTTACTTCCCTTCAAACAACAATGTGCTGCTTATTACATAAGCGAGCAGGGTGTCAGGGAATTCCACTGATGTGCTTTCTCCCACCCTTATATGAGTAATTTTTATACGACATGGAGACATTGAAATATTTTCATCAGATGGGGTAGCTTTTGATCCAAATATATTCAAAGACATAATCACTGAAATGCCAGCTTCATACAAGTCACCTTCCAGGAGTCACGGCGCCGCACTTCTATGGAGTGCAAGAACTGATTCGACAAAATAGAGGTTTTGAGAGGAAAATTCATATTTATTTCTTAATATTCTAAGAGTGTTAGGTACTTTTTCCTTTGCATGTTAACTTTCCTTTGCCTGTTAACTTTAACTGAGTTAAGCAAACTGTCTTTCGAGTGCCTCTGTGAGCAAAGTGTGAAAAGTCAAGTCAGTGAGAAGGGAAACACGCTTGCTCAGCAGGTGTGGGATTGTGTTGCAGGTGTGTGCGCCCTTCCCGGCCACCCAGTGGCTCCCAACCCAGTCAGGCTCACCTTAGCCACCTTGGAAAAGGACTGATGAGGAAGCCGCCAGATTCCTACCCACCGAAGGTAAGTCCTGAATAGATGCGAGCACTTAGTACACGCATGCAGATATGAGGTTTTCAATACAAGATTGAATAAGAATGGGATCCCAGAGGCACTGCCTGTGAAATGCTGAGTCAGCATCGCCAGGTCAGCAGGCTCTGGGAGGGTCTCTGTGATGACTGGGCCAGAGGGAGGCCCCAAGGTGCCCCAGTGGGAGCCAACCTAGATCCTGTGGAGGCAGTCAGTGTCCCCTGTGTGATGTGGTGCAGCCTATCGTGAGCTGCGATCCCTCCAGTGACACACCAGCCACATTTCCAGGGCCCCACTGGATCAGCAGCCCAAGCTGGTTCCTGATACCGGCTCCCAATACCAGCCCCACTATGGCTTCCAAATGCCACCACCTCACTTTAGGTGAGCTGCTTTGGCCCACTGTTACTCTTAAAGTGTTTTTCAAAGTTACATGGAGCCCTCAGAATTGCCCATTTTGCCCAGCCCTGAGCTGAGGAAGCCCTGTCTACCCTGCAGTTTCAGAGAACTGGATCCTTAACCCAGAGGACCCCATGGCTCCCTGCTGTATCTTCACTCTCTTGCTATCCTGGTGAATTATAGCTAGAGTTCATTCTCATAGTTTTTCCCCACCAAATTTTTCTGATGTATCCACAAGAATTCTTGAATATTGAATTCATTCAACAAGAGTCCAAATTATAATCGTGAACAAGATTGGTGTCAAAAAAAATGAGAAGTGATTGAAAAATCATTGCCGCATAATCAGCAGACAATAAACTGTTTTAGCTCCCTTGACCCAAAAAGTGTAGAGGGTGGGGCACCAAGGAAGAGGCTGCCATTTCCAATAAGCTTTACCCCTACCTGTCCCCAAAGGTGGAACCATAAGCAAGAATGGCTTTGTGTGGTAGCCAAAAGCACATCTTTCATTTTTTAATTTTTTTTAAAAAAAGCAAAAATTTAAAAATAGCACAGCCTTATTTCTGAGAGCCCCAGACTGGAAACAATCCAAATATCCATCACCCAGTAAAAGGATAACAAACAATGGTATGGTCCCACAATGGAATGAACCATTGATGTACACAACACTGTGGATGAATCTCTAGGTAATTATTCTGAGTAAAAGAAGAAAACCCAAACAGAGTACATACGCTATGATTCCACTTATATACAGTTCTGGCAAATGCAAACTAACTGATAGTGACAGAAAATAGATTGATGTTTGGAGGGAGAGGGAAGGGATAAGGAAGGATGACAAGGAAACTCTTTGGGGTGAGGGGTACATTCATCTGTCCATTTGTTTGCTGTGACGGTTTCATGGGTGTAAAGATAATGTCAAAAATGACCAAATTATACACTTTATGTCAGTTATACCTCAATTAAGCTGTTTTTAGAAAGAGAGGAGGGAAAGGGTGGAAGCCTGAGGTATAAGGGCCCCTGCAGCACCTGTTCTAAGAACAAGGGTTACCAGGTGGGAGAACATCTCCAACTCCAAGCCCACCCCAGCTGTGGCTTCTTGAAGCCATCACCCACCTTTCCCCAGTGGTCTTCTCAGTTCTCACTGAGCCTTGCATACATTAAGCTGTGTCTTATTTTCACATCTCTTTTGTAATTCCCCTAAGACCTCAGTCTGTGTCTTTAGACTTGGTACTTTTTCAAGTGCTTTGTACCTATTTGTTAATAACAGTTTTTAAAAATCTAAATAAAAATCGATCCTTCTATTACAGATTTGGTGGGGTGGAGGCAGGTGGTGCTTCTGTTAGAATTTTGAAGTTTAAATAAGTAATAGTTTCCCTCTTGTGTGCACCCTTGATTTCTTTCCTTTACCCGACCTTGGCCTTCAGCTATAGCAGAGGAGTTGGCACTGCTTTTCCCTTAAAGAATTACTGATATTTTTGCAACCCACTGGTAGTTTTTGTTCTAAAATCTACTTCATCTGATGTTAGTATATTCACTCCAGTTTTATTTTGATTAGTATTAGTGTTGTCTTTTTGAAACCCACTATAGCATGGCTTTTCACTTTGACCACGCAGGACCATCCCAGGAGATTGCTACAGTGTCAGAATGTTGACATCAGCAGACCCCTCAATGGCCTGAATGTCCCTCAGCCCCAGTCAACTCAGCGAGTGCTTCCTCCCCTCCACCAGGCTCCGCGTGCGCCTGGCGTCCCTGTCAGACCCCTGCCAGCCATCCCTGCACTTAGGCAGGTCCAGGTATGATTTCAATACTGATACGATAGGACGCAGTTCAAATCCAGATTCTGCTACTTGTTAATGTGTGAGCTTAGACAAGTTGCTTACCTTCTTGGTGCCTCTATAAAACAGAGACAATTCAGCTACTCAGATGGTTAAATGAGATAATTCACATAAAGCAGTTAGTTTGGTGCCTGGACTATAATAAGGGTGTGATATATTTGAATTTACTAGTCTTATTTTTTAGCATTTGAATAGTTAGAGCACCCATGCAACTAATATAAACTATGATACTTTTGAGAATAGCAAGGGCACTAATAATAATTAGGCCTGGACGGTAAAATAGAGACAGACAATCCAAGAGAGATAGTCACCCTAAGAATAATCAGCTATAGTTTCTCATCATTCTAGTTCAAAATTATTTATAAGAATTATACCACCTATAGGGCGTCTCTGTGCCAGACCTATCACTGTATTGGTTGCTTTATGTATTATTATATCATTTTTATGCTGTTTTGGAAGTAACCATTTCTGTTTGCTGCAACAATGAATGATATTTCACAAGAGAAAACTTGAAGGGAGGAGAAAAAAGCATGAGATAATCACTAGTAATTATTCACTGCTGTTATATTTTCTAATTTTTTTATAATTGTATATTTTAACATAATTTAGATGATTTGATCACGGCTTTATAAACTGCTTTTTTTTTTTTTGGCTTTAAAAATCAATCCCATTTACAATGGCATTAAAAATCCTTAAAAATGGTATTTAACAATAACACTATACTTGAATAATTGTTTAAGTACTTGCCAGTTATTGGGCATGTCTTGATGTCTGTAATTTTTGCTCTTATAAACAGCTCTGTTATAAAGTTCTAGACAAGTAAATGTTGAACCTCTTTAATTATTCCCCTAGGAGAGATTCTCAAAAGTGAAATATTGGATTGGAAGATTGTATGACCCTTTTACGCCTCATAATTTAACAATATTTTTTCAGAACTCTTATATCTGTTTGTGTTTCCACATTATGGTCTTTCTCACTATGACTTTGCTAATGCTGAATTTTAACTTTTACCAGTTTGATAAATAAAAAAAAATATCTCAATTTTTTGCTGTCTAGTAGTTCCATCAGTTACTAAGGAGATGTTGGACTTTCCAACTATAATTGTGTCTCCTTTGAGTTCATCCATTTTTGCTTCATGTATTTTGAAGCTCTGCTGTGATACACACAATTGGGATTGTTGTGTCATCTTGGTACAGTGAGCTTTTATCATTATGTCATGTCTCTGTTTAGCTCTGGTAATCTTTGTTCTAAAATCTACTTCATCTGATATTAGTATGTTCACTCCAGTTTTATTTTGATTCGTATTAGTGTTGTCTTTTTGCAATCATTAATGATATTTCACAATAGGAAACGTAATTCAGGACTGCAGCAATGAGTTATGGGTACTTCCAAAAACAGCATAAAAAGCAAGGTATATATTTTCCCGTCCTTTTACTTTTAACATATGTATGGCATGACATTTGGAAAGAGTTTCTTGTAGACAGCATATAGTTTATACTTTTTCATCCATTTAGCCAGTTACTGTCTTTTAATAGGTGTGTTTAGAACATTTACATTTAATGCAATTGTTGGTAGGTTTGGACTTAAGTCTACTGCGCTAATATTGTGTTTGTTCCCTCTGGTTTTTGTTTCATTGTGCTCTTTGATTCTGTGTTCCCGTACTTCAGCTGAACATATGTTAGTATTCCATATTGATTTATCTACATTTATGTTTTTGAGTATACATCTTTGTAGGTGTTTTTTGTATGATTAGGACAGTTTCTCAACCTCAGCATTTTGACATATTGTACTGAATACTCTTTGTGATGTGGAGTTTTCCTGTGCATTGTAGAATTTTCAGCAGCATCCATGGCTCTATCAACTAGATAGCAGTAACGTGTAATTATGTCTCCAAACATTGCCAAAATGTCTTCTGAAAGGCAGAACCTCCCGATTGAAAACCACTGTTCTAAAGACTACAGTATATGTACTTACTTTATCACAGTCTACTAGTGTTAATATTTTATCACTTCATGTAAAGTACAGAAACTATCACCTTTTAGGTCTTTTTTTCTTCCTCCTTTTATAACACAGATGTCTTAAATATTACCTTTATGCGTATTGAGAGTTATTTCAGATGTTGCAGTTTTGCCTTCAGCAAATTATGGAAACATAATCTTTAAATCTTAAGAAGAGTCTACTATATTTACTCATATATTTACTTTTCATTTCTTTCTTCACTCCTGATGATGTTTCAAGTTTGCTTATTTTCTGAAAAACTTCAGCCATTTTTTAAAGCAAATCTGTAGGTGACAAATTCTCTTTATTTTCCTTTATCTGAGAATGTATTTGTGCCTGGAGGATAGTTTTGCTGGATATAGAATTCTGCATTGACTATTTTCTCCTTTCAATACTTAAAAAATGTTGTTCCACTTCCTTCTGGACCCCATGGTGACAAGAAATCAACTAAAAGTTCTACCCGTAGTCTCCGTTCCAGGGAAGGGATGTGGCATGTTATTTTAAGAAGTGATGGAAAGTAGAGATCTGCCAGTCTCTAGGCCATGATGCCTGGTGAGGAGCGGGAGGGAGGCATGGCTTTTTTCAAGTGTTGTGCTGGAGTAAGGTCAGGTATAGTCAAAACAGTTCTGTATTTCTGGAATGCTCTTTCTCCAGTATTTTGGCTCAAAATAGCAGGCTTTTCCAGTTGTGGGCCTATCCAAAGCCCAGGCCAAGATATATGAAAGTGCACACACACAAATACACCACTGAGTGATTCCTTCAGTGCTGAGATCCTGAGCCAGCATACTTGCTTTTCTCCAACTTTCAGTCTTCTGTTAGCTGCTTTACAAATTATGTCCACACATTTTTGTTACACTTAGCAGGAGAAATAGGGTGAAATGTGCTTATTCCACTTTGTCCAGACCTCATTTCTTCTTGTATTTTTTTGATTACTGGTACACTTGAACTACTTTTTATATATCCATTAGCCAATGGTATACCAGCAAACTGACCCTTTAAAAAATATCCTGATTTATAGCTGATTTCTCTAGTATAAAACCTCCCACCGTGGCCTGTTTCAAGCTACCAACATGACATTACTGAATGAGGAGCAGGGAAGTGGCAGTTATGAGCCAGCTGAAGCATACCACTGCTGTTAACAGTATTTGTTCTGTGAATTGTGTCTTCCTATCCTTTGCCTATTTCTTTCTGTTTGAGAAGTAGAATTTTTCTTCCTGGTTTGTAAGAGTTTCTTTTAAAAATATGTTGGTAATTTATTGTAATTTTAGTTATGACTTTTTGGCATGAGAATAATCCTGGTTTTGAATATTGAATTTTTCTTTGGTGAATTTTCCCATTCCTTTCATGCTTGCAAAGTCCACTCCCATTTCATTATTAGTGAAAGTCCACATATAGTTTCTTCTGTTTATTAGCTGTTGATAGTTCTTTTACATTTGTTTTTTGAATTTGTTTTGGATTTGCAGTCATGGAAGGTGGCAGGCACACCCTAAACTTTTCTGGTCCGTGGACTTACTTGAGAATCTAACAAAAGCTATGAACTCATAAAATGCACCAATATCAGTATTTTGTGTGCACATTTCAGGTAGCCAAAGAGCAGGGAAGCTCCTTTCCCATGTACCCTTCATCCTGAACCTTGTTATTTCTCTTTTAAGCAACTCACCTGGGTACCATGTCAAACTGGGGCTACCTCTAATAGACCATGTGATCAGAAGAAAGTATTCCTACCGCTGGTGTTTTTTTCTCTACCAGCAGGGACTCTTCCAAGACTTCCTTTAAATCAGGCCCGAAAAAGTTCTTCATTCTGTTTTATGAAACTAAGGAAATGTTACCCTTTAAACATCAGTCACTGAAAAATCCACATTTCTCACTCCAGGCTGGTGTCTGTCTGGAACTTTTCCGAGACATATGATATAGATTAGTGTGTGATTTCTCTCCCATCACACATAGGGGATGGGAATTAATTCCATGCCGGTGTGGAGAATATTTGGAGGTGGCTCTTATTTGGCAGCACAAATTGAATCCACTGACATTTTGTACTTTGGAGTTCCTCATGCCCTTCCCTGAACCACATGACAAACACAGCTTACACAACTAATCCTGCTTCATTTGTCCAAGTTTACCATCAAAGCATTCCAGAAGAAGACAGTATCACAAACACCATCTTGGTACACCTCACATTTAAAGTGTGAGCTAAGTCTTTATAGAAACCATTTCATCTTCTATCAAATGTTCTGTTCGACTTTTTTTAAATGAAGGACAGCTGAATGAACCTACTCTCTAGTCCACAAACATACCTTTGCAATGTACCATTTCCTTCATGGTAAAAGGACCCTTGGAATTCAAGCCTCTCATCCTAACTCCCCAGTCTTGATCAAGGAAACAAGCTTATTTTCTTTTCATTCCATCAACTATATTAGAGGAAAAATAATTCAGTATATTCATCTAGCTGTTTGCTGCATCTTAGCAAAGGTGGAGATCTTCAGTTCAGTGTTGCTGTCAAGGTACAACATTTCTCCTAATCAACATCTTATCTGTCTGTATTATATGCAACATACAATATTTTATGGCACAAGATTCACCAGTCTGGCACAATCTCTTCTAAGAAAAGGCCAATTTGCTGAAGTTCCCATGGGAAGAGGGTGGCAGCTATTACAAGGAGGTCCAGATTCCTCCTCAAACCCATAAAAAAGGTGATGAATGATGAGCTGGGGCTGTTACTGGTAAGCAGCAGCTTCTCCTTCACAAATGCTCAGGCAGGATGCAGATGTGAGCAAAGCCAATTAATTTAAGCCATGATTGTAGATCAATCAGGTGCTGGCCAGTTCACTCAGAAGTTGACCCCAGACTTTCAACTGTTCAGCAGAATGAATATGGCTGTGAATGGATAAGGGTGTGTGCCCTTCTGACCTGTGTGGGCGTCTGATGTCGAAACCTGCACTTGCAGAGTCTAGAAATCTGGGGGTTGGATCCTTGCTTATCAGAAATACCAATATGTAATGAGAAAACAAGACCCATTTGTCAGTATGTTCACCTAAAGAAGATGAAATACAAGAAAACTGAGTTTTTTGAGAGCATTTGTTACTACCCGCAAAGCACAGGCTAATAACTGACCAAGGTGCTGCTGAGCGTCCTTCTGTGCCCACTCTGTTTTCCAGCTCTCGCCCTCCCCTAAGATCTCTCCAACCTTGGGCATTTCCACAGTCTTCCCTCCAGGACCCCCTGCTCACCTGCTGCGATAGCCTGGAGTTACCAGTATGCCAGCTCTGCCCTAAAAAGGCACAGACTTTTTTGAGCTTTTAAGTCCAGTCCCTTGAACACAGTAGATGTGTAGGGAATATGCTGAATTGACGTGGACTTAAAATAGTAAAAAAATCAGTTGTCACAGTGCCATTCTTTATGGAGCCATCACACTCAGTGAGTTACGAATTTATGAAAATGAGTCCATTCCTCCTGTAAATCTAAAACACAGCTACCAAGGTCTTGCACTCTCCCTGCCAGATACACAAGACTTCCAGAAACTTTAACTGAATTTCTTTGGCTTTATATAATATACTAATTATTCATCAGACACACCCATCAAATGTCTTTAAGGGAATCAATTATACACAGAAGCACCCAGGTCTCTGAAGAGAAAGAACTTCTCAGAACACAATGTTTTCAAGGGGAGTCATTCAAATGATTACAGTATTCAGAGGGGTGTTTGTTTCCCACTTACGTTACTATAAACATGCAAAGTCTATAAAAAGCAGATGCCTGATATTTTAGCCTTTACATTTGTTAATAGGTAATACATGCCTATAGTTAAAAATCTCAACAGTATAAGGGGTCATTCAGAAAACAGTCTCCCTCCCCAGAAGCAATCATCACTGTTACTAAGCTTTTATAGAATACAATTTGGGATGTAATGAAAAGTCCCAGTTGTAGTCCCGCCCCCTTCACTCTCTCTGCAGAGAGAGACTATGGAAATTTTCAAACACTCAAAATTGGAGAGAAGAGTACAGTGAAACCCTACCTACCCATCATTCAACTTCAGCAACTGTCAACTTGCTGTCACTTACCTTACATCCTTGTTTTGAATTCAAATGGCAACACATTATGTGCTTTCTTCTACTTTGGTTATTCCTTATTAGCTTCATACATCTGCCTCATTCTTTTCACTGACCGTATCGTATTTCATTGTGAAGCTATACTATGACTTCTTTTACCTGTCCCTTACAGATTCCAATATGGGTTGTTTTCAGTCATTTGCTACATCACACAGGCATATTCCTGCCCAAGATGGCTGTAGGGTAAACTCCCGAAAGCACAATTGCTGTGCAAAGGCCATATGCATTTAGAAATTTGATAGATCGGATGAAACTGCCTCTAATGGAGTTGCTCCAGCCATTCTGTTCTCTAACTCGTCACCAACACAGTGTGTTCAGAGATTTCCCTTCTCTTTGCCAATTGATAGGTTAAAAACAATGGTCTGTACATTTTTCTTCATAGGAAATACTTTACAGAGAGATGAAATGCCTTTTCACAGCCTTAAGATTTTCTTTTTCATGAACTGCCCTTTCATCGTTGCCATTTTTAAAATTTAGGTTTGGGGGTACACATGCAGGATGTGCAGGTTTGTTAGAGGTAAACATGGGCCATGGTGGTTTGCTGCACAGATCATCCCATCACCTAGGTATTAAGCCCAGCATCCATTAGCTATTCTTACTGATGCTCTCCCTCCTCCCCTTGCCCCATTGTGTCCATGTGTTCTTATCATTCAGCTCCTACTTACAAGTGCAAACATGGGGTATTTGGTTTTCTGTTCCTGCATTAGTTTGCTGAGGATAATAGCCTCCAGTTCCATCAATGTCCCTGCAAAGGACATGATCTCATTCCTTTTTATGGCTGCATAGTATTCCATGGTGTATGACATTTTCTTTATCCAATCTATCATTGATGGGCACTTAGGTTGATTCTATGTCTTTGCTATTGTGAATAGTGCTACAACGAACATACGCATGTGTGTATCTTTATAATAGAATGATTTCTATTCCTTTGGATATATACGCAATAATGGGGTTGCTGGATCAAATGGTATATCTGCCTCTAGGTCTTTGGGGAATCATCACACTGTCTTCCATAATGGTTGAACTAATTTACACTCCCACCAACAGTGTCAAAGTGTTCCTTTTGCTCTGCAACCTTGTCAGCATCTGTTGTTTAACTTTTTAACAGTTGCCATTCTGACTGGCATGAGATGGTAGCTCATTGTGGTTTTGATTTGCATTTCTCTAATGATCAGTGATGAGCTTTTTTTCATATGTTTGTTGGCTGCATGAATGTCTTCTTTTGAGAAATGTCTGTTCATGTCTTTTGGCCACTTTTTACTGGGGTTGTTTTTTTCTTGTAAATTGAAGTTCCTTGTAGATGTTGGTTATTAGCCCTTTGTTAAATGGATTGAAAAACTTTCTCCTATTCTGTAGGTTGTTCTTTCTGATATTTCTTGTGCTGTGCAGATGCTCTTTAATTAGATCCCATTTGTCAATTTTTGCTCTTGGCATCATCATGAAATATTTGCCCATGCCTATGTCCTGAATGGTATTGCCTAGGTTTTCTCCTAGGGTTTTATAGTTTTGAGTTTTATATGTAAGTCTTTAATCAATCGAGTTGATTTTTGTATATGGTATAAGGAAGAGGTCCAGCTTCAGTCTTCTGCATATGGCTAACCAGTTCTTCCAACACTATTTATTAAATAGGGAATCCTTTCCCCATTGCTTTTTTTTGTCAGGTTTGTTGAAGAACAGATGGTTTTAGGTGTGCAGTCTTATTTCTGGGTTCTCTATTTTGTTCCACTGATCTGCGTATTTGTGTAAGTACGATGCCATTTTGGTTACCATAGCCTTGTACTATAGTTTGAAGTCAGGTAGCGTGATGCCTTCAGCTTTGTTCTTTTTGCTTAGGATTGTCTTGGCTATTCGGGCTCTTTTGGGGTTCCATATGGATTTTTAGTTTTTTTCTAATTCTGTGATGAATGTCCACAGTAGTTTTGATGGGAATAGCACTGAATCTATAAATTGCTTTGGGCAGTATGGCCATTTTCATATTCTTTCTGTCCATGAGCATGTAATGTTTTTTCATATGTTTGTGTCCTCTTTGATTTCTCTGAGCAGTGGGGTAGTTTTCCTTGAAGAGGTCTTTTACATCCCTTGTTAGCTATATTCCTAGGTATTTTACTCTTTTGTGGCAGTTCTGAATGGGAGTTCATTCATGATTTGGATTTTGGCTTGATGGTTGTTGGTGTAAAGGAATACTAGCAATTTTTGCACATTGATTTTGTATTCTGAGACTTTGCCGAAGTTGCTTATCAGCTTAAGAAGCTTTGGGGCTAAGACAGTGGGGTTTTCAAGATATAGGATCAAGTCATCTACAAACAAAGATAGTTTGACTTCCTATTGGAATACCTTTTATTTCTTTCTCTTGCCTGATTGACCTGCCCAGAATTTCCAATACTATCTTGACTAGGAGTGGTGAGAGAGGGCATCTTGCTTGTGCCACTTTTCAAGGGGAAAGCTTCCAGCTTTTGCTCATTCAGTATGATATTGGCTGTGGGTTTGTCATAGATGGCCCTTATTTTGAGGTATGTTCCTTCCATACCTAGTTTATTGGGAGTGTTTTCACAGAAAGGGGTGAATTTTATTGAAGGTTTTTCTGCATCTATTGAGATAATCACATAGTTTCTGTCTTTAGGTCTGTTTATGTGATTAATCACATTGATTGATTTGTATATATTGAACCAAC